GTCAATCTTTTTTAATTCGATAGAGGAGAATAAGAATTATTGATTTTAGTTTGCTATTGTCTTATTTTTATACTAAATGAGGTTCTGAGAAATAGAAATGCGTCAAGAATATTTTTGGTCTCGGTAACAGAAATCCTTTCCGAGGGTGTTAAGACTTGATTTAACTCGCGTTCGATTACTGAAAAAATATGTTGGCGAAAGCTTAAAAATAAAACGTTAATTCGGCCATGAAAAGATTGAAAACGCTATTCCGCGAACGTTGGTATATACATTTCATGTATTTTCGGCGTGTAGCGTACCGCATACATAAAAATACGAACGACAAATGACAGAGCTACTTTCGAGCGTGTTAGGCTGCTTTTACATTCGTCGTACGACACATTTTTTAAGAACGTTGGCTACAGGATAGCAAAATTTCTAGATACTCGAGAACTTTATTATCCTGGAACCAATCGACATGCTTGAAAAATTTGTCGGGCGACAAACGCAATACCAGCCTTAGGGCCTGAGCAGAAAGATTGTCGTATGTGTTTACGATTCCGTAGTAAGACGCAAGTCCACGTCGGAAGTCAACGCGCAAACAATTATCGTAGACGTATGTCGCCTCGCGACGCGACGAATGCAACATACGTCTACAATACTTTGTGCGTTGACTTGTGTCGCCGACTTAAGTCGAATCGCAAACGACTACGACAGCCTTTCCGCTCAGGCTCATATTCGGAACTGGGGCTCGATTCTCGAATTTGTTCGAAGGAGAAACGTATGCGAATATTTTGCTCTTACAGAAAAGTTGCAAGTTGATTGGCTATTCGCGTGGCCTTTAACCAATCGACTTTAAACTTTTCTGTCAGAGCAGAATTTTCGTATACGTTTCTTCTTCGAATAAGTTCAAGAATCGGGGCCCTGGTGTATCACCTTTGCTTTTTTTTTCTACGGGACATTCGCGAATTCGACGGCGGCGGGAAAACGCCATGCTACAGCCATCTGTTAGAACGGCGTGGAACCCGGCGGTCGGTCGGCGGCCTCGGGAGTCGCGGCGATGTTTACGCGGCGTCGAACACGTGCGTTTAAAGCGCAGCGAAACGCACGTGTTCGACGACCGTCGCGTTTCGTCGATTTTTTTCTTCCGATTCGACGAATTTTAGCGCGATTCGACGTACCGCCACGCTAATCCGGGGGGGGGGGGCGGAGTAACGGCGGTCGCGCGGATCCTCCGGGGCGCGCGCGGTCGTCGCCGTCGCCGGGAATTCGGTCGACACTGAAATATCGCATTTCCAACTAAATCTGGCCGAATCTAATTTTACGGGACCCATGTGCATTAGCGGATTAATGCGCTCCATTCCTGGCGGACCAAGTGATGAGCCGTATTTGCATGGCATTATACTTGCGTTCTCTCGTCCCCCTCCCCCCCCTCCAACCCCCGACGCACCCCCAGCCTCCGCCCACCCCCCTGCCCGCGGCCCGTCCTCTCGTTCCGCCCCTTCAATCCTGCCTCTAATTATACGTGTAGTACCACTATCGGCCTTCCTGCACAGGTGATAATCATATTACTATCCTATCAACGTTATTGCCATTCCTGAACGCATACCACGATCGCACTATTTGAAGTGCTTGGACTAATGCGGATCGATCGGGCCGCCAAGAGGGCCCACCCCGAGCACCGCCCTCCACGCAGTTCGTTCGAGGGAGGGACCGAGGAGGAGATTAGACAATGGCTTTGTATTTGTCAATTGACAATTAGCGGAGGATCTAATGGAATTGTGTTGTACACAATAAATTCCTAACGTGCATTCCGAGGAAGAGTAGACGCTGCGCGCGGGGCGGCGCTGCGATTTGTCCAACGTGTTCAACGCGAGGAATCCGCGCCGCGTACGAGAATTTTATGTGTTTCGACGGTGCAGAGTTTTCGATAAAAAGAAAGATTGCGATCGTTCATTCGTTCCAGCGTCGAAATTACCGCGCTGTCGGGACTGTTGTTTCTTTCGTTTCGCTCGCTCGTCGAGATATTCCGCTTATTACGGGTCTCCGTTGTTTCCCTCGCGCAGAAATACCAGATACGTCTCGGACCGGGGCGCAAACAGAACGGGAATAAATAACACTCGAAAGAAACGGGGAACGAAGCTCCGCGCAAGTTGCCGAAAGTGGAACGCAGAGAGCTATCGGGCGAAGTTGCGAGCAGCGAGAAAGAAGGGAAAAAAAAGAGGGGGAAGGAGGATACTACGGGCTCTCGAGTAATCTCGCTCCGGCGGGAAACAAATTTACGCGAGAAAATGAGGAGGACGATGTTAAGTTACTACGGAAGCACCGGTGTCTTGCGAAAGCGCCTAACATCTCGCACGTCGAACCGAGATTGGACCGGAACGTAAATAATTAGCGAACTTTTGAAAAGTCGATCAAAACGCGCGAAGAGCATTCGCCTCTTGAGTCCGGCAAGAAATTCCGCAAGAGACGCTGTACTTTCTTAAGCCTGCAATTCGAAAAATAAATTCTCTCGCACAGTCCGACTGCGCAGATCTGCGAGGAAACTCCACTCATCGCGCGAGTTTTTTTTTCGATATCTCGCGGTATCAACGCGCAGCGCATCGAACATCACAGGACGTGCCACTGGCACGTATTATAATATAACATCTATGTGTGTGAAGTTAGACCTACTTTTTCACAATTCGTAAGAATTAATTAGAATTCCGAATGCCCCCGCGAGAGTTCTAGAGTTCTTTAGCGGTTTTCAAAAAGAGTTACATCGTTTCAAGCGGTGAAAACGTCATTTGACAAACTTGCTAACTTTACGGCGACCCCACTTCACCGCTTGAAACTATGGAACTCTTTCTAAAATCGATAGAGAACGCTAGAACTCTCGCGGAGACATTCAGAACTCTAATTGTTATAATTTTAACGAATTCTGAAAAAGTGGGGCCAACTTCACGCACATGTAACATCTCGCACGTCGAACCGAGATTGAATCGGAATGAAAATAATGCGAACGTGTGAGAAGTCGTTCATAACGCGCGAAGAGCTCTAAGACTTTCGCCTCTCGAGTCCGAGAAGAAGTTCCGCAAAAGGCGCTGTGCTTTCTCAAACTTGCCATTCAAAAAATAATTTCTCTCGCGGAGCTCGACTCCGCAGATCTCGAGGAAGCTCCGGGTATCACGCGCGTTTGTGTCGATATTTCGCCGGTATCAAAGCGCGGCGCGTGAAAAAATCACGGGGACGTCGGCGCCGCCGGCAATTTCGAGAACGCGCCCGGAAAGCGCGCAATTGTCGGCGCCGGCAATTGGAGCGCGGAGGAGAAGGGCGTACTCTGTAATCCTTTTGTATAAACACTCAGCGGCGCGGCGCCTGCACTTAGGCGTTCCCGGCTGCACGCGCGCACATGTGCACGCGATATGCAAATCCGCGGATAACGCGCATCGCAGGTGATCGCGAATTATGGCGGCGCGCGTAAACCCGCGCATTTCTCTAATGAGATCCTTTTATAATTAAAGGATAAGGCCGGGGCGAACGGAGCGCGGGATCTCCCGGTGCTCTTTTATCGGCGCAATTTCACACGGAGTAATTTCTCCCGACGTAATTCGGCGGGGCCCGCGCGCGCCGCGTTGCGCGGCAGCTTTAAATGACCTCCCGTTCCCTGTCATTAGATGGTCATTAACGATGACAGCGTCGCCGATATCTGCTGACGCACCCCTTCCCCCTCCGGAGACCCCGCGACGAGATATCATCGTGATTGTTTCGCTCGCGGACTCGCCCTAATTTGCCCTCGCGCTCCTTCCTCTCGACGCTTTCGATCTCTTGGAGAGATAAAGAGAATGATTAATCGCGAGATCCCGCGCGTAATCAGCGCGTTATCTCGGCGCTTGTCAGGGGCGTAATTTTCTGTAGCTTTGAGTCGCTCGCCCTCGCGATTCCGAGATCCGTACGTCGCGTGGTACAAACCGCAACCGGACTACTGATTGTGAGTAAGGCAATCCAATCTGTGATCGAGATCGGGCAATTTGTGAAGCCCGTATCGGACGACGGTCTGAGGTTGATATTAGATTGAAATTTGACCGATCGGAGTAAAATTCGCTAAACTCGAGATCAGCATGGCAGAGTTCCCTATTACGAGATAGGCTTCCGAATGTGAGACAGCGGGTTTTCAATCGTCCGCATTCAATTGCAAATCCTTTTCCGCGACGATTCGCGACCCAACGACGAGTTTTCCACTAAGCAGATTTCACTTCGAAAGCGACAAGCTCACGGCGATAAATTCACCAGTAGGTGACACTTGTTAATTTAACAAAGACCCCGCTATCTCGCGTCAGGAACTCGTCTCATAATAGGGGACTTCCTCTATACTTTACTCCGATTGATCAAATGCCAATCTAATCTGAATCTCAATCACGGTAGTCTGACACGGGCTTAGAAGTCGAGCGTGAAAAAGTTTTAAGGTTTTATCAGTGAAGATAACGTAATGTTTAATATATACATTAATATTCAGCCGAGGGGGAAACCGCTGACCAAAATTTTGTACACCAATGCCCACTAATACCCAGTGGGCATTACTTTATCTTACAATCTTATTTATCTTGCTTCATCTTACTTTATCTTATCATATCTTTATAATGTTCCAGCGAGGCCCAATGCCCAAACTAATGCCCAAAAAATGCCTAGTAATGCCTAGTAATGCCCAGTAATGTCGCAAATCTGTACGCCACAATGCCCTCGGCGGTTTCCCCCTCGTATCCAGCCAAGCAATATATCCGTCAGTTTTTAACAGTTCGTTTAATAACTCTTTTTTTTTTACATGCTGCTTTCATACGCGAACACACGCCAGTCCTCCGAGTAATTTCAAACTAAATAACTTCCGACGAATATTTAAAAAAAAATGCGATTATTTATTTCACAATTATTATTAATTCTTTTCCCGCGCGTAACCGATCCGCCCCCTCACTTATTTCACTCGCCGCGAACAACGCCGACGGATGCTTACGTTACGTTAAAGTAAATTTTACATCTCGACTCACCACTTTTTCCTGACGATCGCAAGCCGGAGGGTGTCCGCCTTCTCGCTGGCCATTAGTACGCACGGCGCTGCGGTGGCAGACATCTTGGATATCCGTTACTCCTTTTTCGGGCACTGCGAACACTTTTCACTCGCACCGCACGATTTTCTCACCCGATATTGCGACATTCGCCACACGCGCACCTCTCGACGCGCGTTTACACGCGTCGAGACACTTCACGCACGCACACAAGCGCGTAAAACTCGCGACGCGACGCAATTCCCGAAACGCGGCAGCTTCGCGGCGCTCGCGAGAACGCGAATTACCGTCCGCGACGACTTCCACGGCGCCGGGGATCCTCCAATTCGTTCTCGGCTCGATCCTCGGGGCCCGTCTTCGTTCGCTCGACCCACCCATCGGCGAAATATCCCGTCGATTCGCAATGAAAACCGAATATAGAACGCGGGAGCGATCCCGATACGGAGCAACGGGAACGACTTCGCGATCGATACTACCAACCGCTCAATAGTAAAATTGACAACTTACACCGCTCTGCACGCGGTGCACGCTAGGTGCACGTAATCCGCGTAATTACGATTATCCTGCCCGAAAGTATTTCGCTCGATGCTTCCGGTGACGACGTTATCGCGTTTTACGACGGAATTAGCGGGGGATGTGACGATTCCTGGCGTTCGTGCTACGCTATTTCGTGTCTTACCGTCAACAGCAACTCCGACCAATTGTCGACGTGTATTTGCGCGGTATCAATTTTTCACCTAGTGACTTGCCAATCTAGATTTTATGCAACGCTGAACTCCCGCACTACGCGGCGGTTGCCGCTTCTTCTTACTCGCGTCGATTACCAACTGTGACTGCGAGAAAACGTCGCGTTCTTTCACGCCCGAAGGTTGTTTTGACGCGTCAAAACATCAACGTACCTATGTGGCGTTACCAAAACACCGCGATTTCAAATCTCGGCAGTTTCCCGTGTTTACCAATTCAGCCGAGCTTCTGATCTGTTTTTTAGCGGTCGACGTCATGTATCTGCGCGTTTTCAACGCGACGTCTATCTCATTTTCTCCAACGATCTCCATAATCCGAACGTACACCGATGGACAGAACGGCGGCAGCGCTTTTTCTTTTTAATGAATTTAGAAACGTGCCTTTAAATTCAGGGTTACGTTCCAAAATCATCTGCTCCGAGGAGTAATTTACTCGTTGGCCATTACTGAAACTATTGTCAACGTTTCCGATCTATTTCTCAGGTAAAATTTTTCGTGGCGAATATGTTTTGGAACGAAAACCTGAATGTAAATACGCGTTCCTAAACTCATCTACAAAAAGGTGATGCAACTATTCTGTCAATCACTGTACAAGTACACGGAGAGAATTTTCTCTCAAAATTTATCCTGAAAACCATGTGATCGTGGGGAGACAACGTGGCGTTGTAAAAAACTTTATGATATTTTTGAAATTTAACACACTTTACTAGCAAAATGTATAATTGCTAGTGAAATGTATGGTAAGTTTTCAAAAATCTCTAAAATTTTTCGAAATGCCACGTTGTCCCACGAATACACAATTTTCAAGATTAATAAAAGAAAATTCGCCTCCGTGTATAATCGCTATATCGGACGCTTCTCCAAATAACGGCGGATGTTGACGATGATTATTCATAAATTTAACGCTAGCCACGGCTCTTTCTAACACGGTACTTTGTAACTTTGCGTCTCTTATTATGCCGACGCCGGAGATATATTTCGAGGAATTGCAAAACACGGGGCGTGGAGAGATCTCCACGAGCGTGGTCGTTCGTGATAATAAATCCGCGGGCAAATTAATCAAGCAAGTAGCCGGAGCGTGGCTAATGCGGGCCGAGCGCCAAATGCCGTTTCTAACGTAATCGAATTTGCGTTGCGCCGAGAGAATTTCGTATGTATCTCCGCGCGCATCCGTGTCGGTGCGAATAACGAGAACGTACCGCCGCTAATCACGCGGTACATTCTCGCATTCTAATATCGTTCGCCATTTCCGCCATCGGGCAACACACATCAGGGCAAATGGGCGACGATAGCTCTGCCTAATTGTCCAATCTGACTCTTCGGTGTCGTTTCAAGGCCCGATCAGGTAGTACCCGAGGAGAGGATTAGCGACAAAAAGCCGTGCAATTATGTGTATATTTAAAGCACGACGTGAAAGAGATTGATCCGAGTTGGATCGTTGGACGTGAAGACACGCGGACGACCCTCTCCGCTCGACTGTACCGCGCCGAATGATTACGCACAATGAGAATAGACTCTTTTCAACCGAGGTGTTTACGGCGCTACGTCATTTCTTGGAATTGAACTCTCGGTCTACGGCGCTCGGCGAAACAATAGCTGACGCCGTACGCGAAAAAATCATTTACGCGGCGACAGTGGAACGAGTCGATTAGAGGCCCGCGCCGCTCCGCGTATCGCATTATTCTTTCTTGATACGCGTTCACGACAAGTACGGGAAGAAATCGCGATCGCTCTCTGCGAATAATCAGCCATCGATATCATCGCGCGAGCGATGTATCCTCGCGATTTCCCATCGATGCTCGGTTAACTGGCGACACAAATATCTCCCGCGATTCACACCTGAGATCTGTACGTCCAAGAATCATAACGCTAGATAACTAGCAATCACTTCTTTGTTGCGATAATTACGGACGATAATTTAATCGATGCTCGGACTTATCTCGTATCGTCATATTGAATCTCTCGTCGCTTCGAGTATAACTTATTAGCTGTTTTTAGGTTGAAAGCACGAAATATTGAATCGAGTGCTTTAATTAGCATTTATCGGTGACTTATTAATACTACTAGTTTATATATTTTTTACGGAATTTATAATTTTATTAATTTATAATTTATAAGAGCTTGGACACAGCTCTCGGATCGTGGACACAAAGGCTTAAAGCCCGTGTCACACTACGTATTACGGATCGCGGATCGGATTGAGATTGCGGATTGCGGATTGCAATTCAACCAATTGGATCCGAGGCTGTCTCGTCTGATTGGCTGAAATGTGATTCGCGATCCGCAATCTCAATCCAATCCGTAATCCGCAATGCGTAGTGCGACACGGGCTTTAAGCCTTTGTGTCCACGATCCGAGAGCTGTGTTCAAGTTCTAGTTCCGAGAAATGTGTAGCCCATCAACCTGCAGCGTATCATTTCTGGGAAAGGCGCTTTCATTCGGGACGATAAGGATTTCACCGCCAGATTTATCTAACGCGAGCGTCAGCGTTGATTATAAAAAAAAATCAAGCTTTAATCACTCTACTTGGCGAAACACGCGCGAGACATGTAAGTACGTATCTTTAATCGCGCATAGTACGTCTGAGAGTTTACCGCGACTAAAGTTTTTTAATTTTCGCAGATAAAGGCAGAGCTTGGCCGGCGCGGCTTTGGGGCCGCCACGTTTCGGGACCGGATAATGCCGCTTAATTGGCGAGCCCATCATTTCAGACCGGTTAATGCTGCCTAATTGGCGAGCGGAAAACAATGCGCCGTATTCATTATTATCCGCCGGTTGCATCCGGTTATACTGCATACGAAAAATCCCGTATCTGCGCGACTGGATGTCGATTAAATTGCCGCAGACGGAGTGGCGCGATGATTGATATCGACTTTTCAGCCAACTAACGTCTACATATGAGCTTATCTGTCGACTCAACTTACCAGCGTATTAAGCTCTGTGGAGTGGATACAATTTTTATACTTATTGTTAGATTAGCCGAACGCGTCTGTTAAACAACATAAACAACTCGATGAAATCATGTATGCACAAATGATAATTTAATAAAAGTAAGAAATATTTTCGTTTGTTATTGCTTGAATAAAACACGTAGGTACCCATTTCGTGCCTGCGTTCGAGATCTATTTCAAGTTATCGTACATCGGTAGTTGATGACATGAGTGAGACCGATTTAAAATTGACGTGTTAGATAACGGAGATATGATAAGGGACTATTTCTGTCTACATAGTAAGCCTAATACGCGAATGAGTCTACATGTAGTAAGTACTTATTGTTAGGTACGTATAGAATCGATAGTATGCTCAAATCATTTCGCGGAATGAAGCTCGCCAATACCGTTTGCTAATAATAGTTTCGCATTTGATTCGTGATTTGATTCGTTCTGAATATTTTTTCAGCAAATCTCAGATTATCTATTGTATGCTTTCGCTTGAAAATTGATTTATATAACATTTTAATAACTGTTATGTATGAAAGATTCGACAAAATTGGTCTTCTCGGTGTAGCCTTGTAGACATTAGATTTATGCCTCGTAATTCCAAGAAAATGAAACAAATAAATAATTACATATTGCAGGGGAAGAAAGGAAAGGCGGAGAGTACAAGAAATTTAATTACAAAGAACAAAACTATTAATTATAATAATTAGATTGTCCGAAGAGAAAGGATATGAGTTAATGCCTTTCTCCGACAAGGCGTACACGCGTGTAGAGCTCTGTTCTCTAACTGCGATGGTGGTGTAATGGTCAGCATAGTTGCCTTCCAAGCAGTTGATCCGGGTTCGATTCCCGGCCATCGCAGGGGTTTTTTTTATATTTTTATTTTTACAAATTTACACGTGATGCGCAAAAACGATACAACTCGTCGACTGACGTTTCACTGCCGTGTATTGAAAAATTTATTAAAATCTTATTCGCCGTCGTGCAACAATGGTCATTGTAATAATCTCTCCTTGAAGCACTTTAATCTTGATTCTTCATCATTGCAGATATTTCTTTTCTCATTTCAATTTATTTCTTTGAGTGGTGATTCGAGCACTCATATCGATAGCGAATACCCCTGCTCGTATCTGCGATGGTGGTGTAATGGTCAGCATAGTTGCCTTCCAAGCAGTTGATCCGGGTTCGATTCCCGGCCATCGCAGGGTATATTTTTGCCAAGTCGTGTTAATTAGAGAAACTTTTTTTTTACATTTTACGAAAACAAAAATATTATCGAATTACTCGACGTTCAAAAATTGATTAACAATTATATATATTGTAAATGTATAGAGTAAAAAAAATAATTCCGATACCGGGAATCGAACCCGAGCCTCCTGGGTGAGAGCCAGGTATCCTAGCCACTAGACCATATCGGATCTTGTTTTGTGCATGATCTTCTACATATCATCACATAACCGTAATTTCAATATTATAATAAAATATGTACAGAAAAATCCGCTAATATGAGATCGCGAAGTTTCTGCTAAATTAATGGGCATCATCTGTTGGTTCCATCATGAATTTAGTGCCCTTGGAGTGAAATTTGTTTAGTAGAAAATTGATTATTAGATCGTGTAATCGTTGCGGAAAAAGATTTGTGATTGAATTCGGATGTTAAAAATTATCTCACATTAGAATCCTATTCCATAGTAGAGGGCTTTTTTCTGTTAACAAATTGATGTAGCATTATTTGGGGCCTATAAATTCAATATAATAGAAGCTATTATTAAAGTATTTGATTAAAGATTTTGTGAAAAATTCTCTTCAAAAAGGTTTGTCAAATAAATTTCTTCCACACTCAATGTATGAATGGCAGGATGGTTTTATTATATAATTATCTATATTTGGAAATATTAGTACACGCACTCGAGCAACTATCTTTCCGCTATCTATTTTAACTTTCCTTATTTTTATGCGGGGATTCGACTAAATTTCCTCCAGTCCTGGATGAACAGGGCGCAGCATCACGCTATTCTCCTATTTATAGCACGTCATTTGTTTTAATTACTTGAATTATTCAAAAGTTCATTCTAAGTTCGTCGTAAAATCTGTTTTAATTACTTAAATTATTTAAAAGATCATTCTAAGTTTGTCATAAAAAAGTTCTCATATTTGGATATATTAATACATTTGAGCAACAAACTTTCCTTGCTGTTCTAACTTTCCCTATTTTTGTGTAGGGATTCAACTAAATTTCCTTGAGTTCCTGGGGATCAATTCTGCACCTTACACTATGGTGAAAATACTAAAAGTAGCTTTGTCTCCTTAAAAAAAAGAAAGAAAGAGACAGCTACTCACTTTAGTATTTTCTCTACAGTGTAAGATACATTGTAGAATTGACCCACTGAATACATTGTACAGAGCGCAGCACCGCGCTGGTTCTCCCACCACCGCCCATGCGAGTCGCCATGTTGCCATGACTGGCTAATTGCAGACGCCGCAGTGGTTCTCACAGCTTCTCGAGGATGCGTCGTTGTTTGCGAGTGCGAGACATGCGACGGCGATCATGTGAGTCAGACGAGACCGGTCGTCCTGCCGCGAGTGTGTTTTCGCTGCTTGGTCTCTGAAATCTTTCCGGAAACGATGTCGCAGTCATCGCGCGCCTTTGTGCCGTGTCCTACCCGCCCGGAAACGCTAGACGACTGGAGACAATAGGTCACGCGCGTCGTGCGAGCCAATCATCTCGCGGGATCTGGCAACAACGCCAGGCAGCGCCGTCACTCGGCGCTGCGCAGCCAGTGATGTTAGCTGTGCCGCTTTCTGGCGCATGCGCACTGGAATAGCAGTGAATCCAGTAACGTATATATGATGTGGGAGATGAACACTGACAGTTCTGGCGGGATTTGGGATAGCAGGAAGGTTAAGTGTGTGGGATGAAAATGTAGTAATGATGAAAAAGTAATATACATGGTTGGCTTTCCATTCCGAAGTAAATAAAGCATTTTGTATAGCATGTAATGTCAGCATTAGATGTTGTAAGACAGATTTGATAAAGCA